AGCTTGTTCCCCGGGACAAGACTCTTTAGCCTCCAAAGGACTGTTTCAAAGATAAGTTTTCATCAAACTTTATTCTCCATAAGTATTACAATGCTGAGTTGACAGAATTTGGTTATTGTGTGGTTTACATGTAGTAAAATAATAATTACAGAGTGTACCACTAGAACGCCTAGCATGGCTAGGCATTTCGGGCAGATTTATATTAAATCTTAGGTTTAAAATGTTACAAAATTATGAGATAAGTTGGTATTATGGCTAAGTGACTAAATACTAGTTGTGAGTTTAGCAATGTGAATGCTTTGTTTTGGCACTATACATAGTTTTCAGTATTGGAGTATCACAGGCCAACTTATGACTAGTTAAGATTCATTATTTTTGAGATTGAGATTGATATTTCTGTTTATGGTCAATGGGTGAGTGAGTGTAAGTGTGAACCACCAGGTGGTATTCGTATTATTAGTTGACAGGGTGTATCAGGGAGATAAGATGTTTTTGATGGTAGTTTTGAAGGTGATGAATGTGTCTGCAGTTTTGGAATTTTCAGGTAGGGTGTTCCAAATTTTAGGGCCTTTGACATACATTGAATTTTTGTAAAGGTTTAGTTGGACACTGGGAATGTCATAGAGATGTTTGTGTCTGGTGTTGTGCCTGTGAGTTCTGTCACAACTATCAAGAAAGCGTTTTAGGTCAAGGTTAATATTGGAATTTAAGGTCCTGTAGATGTAGATTGCACAGTAGTAAGTGTGGATGTACTGAACAGGGAGTAAGTTTAGATCTATGAAGAGTGGGGGGGGGGTGTTGCCAGGGATGGGATTTAGTGATTATTCTTACTGCGGCTTTTTGTTGGGTTATTATTGGCTTACTGCGGCTTTTTGTTGGGTTATTATTGGCTTTAGGTGTGTTGCTGCAGTTGAACCCCAAGCACAGATAGCATAGGTGAGGTATGGATATATAAGTGAATGGTATAGTGTGAGAAGGGCAGTTTGCGGCACGTAGTATCGTATCTTGGAGAGGATCCCAACCGTTTTGGATACTTTTTTGGTTATGTGTTGGATATGGGTGCTGAAGTTCAGGTTGTTGTCGAGGTATAGGCCTAGGAATTTGCCCTCAATATGCCTGGTAGAGTGTTGTCGATCTTAATGTTAATTTGCGCATCTCCTGCTCTGCTACCAAACATAATGTAGTAGGTTTTGTCAACGTTAAGCGTAAGTTTATTGGCTGTCATCCAAGTCTATATTTTGATCAGCTCCTCATTAACAATGGTGTTGAGGGTTGCAAGATAAGGGTGAGAGATGACATAAGTCGTGTCGTCAGCAAAGAGAATGGGGTTCAGGTGTCGAGATACGTTTGGAAGATCATTGATGTATATGAGGAAGAGCAGGGGACTAAGGGCACTTCCCTGCGGAACTCCAGTATCAAGTGGCTGTGTTGTTGATGCTGTGTCTTTAATGGTGACATACTGATACCTATTAGTAAGGTAAGATTTGAAATATGCAAGCGCATGGCCTCTTATACCATAATGGTCAAGTTTGTGGAGTAGGATGCCGTGGTCTACTGTGTCAAAAACTTTTCTTAGGTCAATAAAATTCCTAGTGGATATTCCTTATTTTTCCAATGCTGTGTAAAGCAGATCTAGCATTTTTATAATTGCATCGTTAGTGCTTTTATTTTTCCTGAATCCAAATTGGCAGGGGTTTGAGTATGTTTTGTGACGTTATAAATGAATATAGTGTCCTGTGCACGTGTTTCTCAAAGATTTTGGATAGCAATGGTAAGTTTGATATTGGCCTATAGTTGTTTAAATCTGTAGGGTCACCACCTTTATGTATTGGTGTAACCCTTGCCGTCTTGAGTAGTTTCGGGAAGGTGCTAGCTTCTAGTGACTTGTTAAAAAGCAATGAGATAGTATGCGAGAGGACATGGGCCACTCTCTTGTACAATAATGGTGGGGACATGAGACAGATTCGGTCGCAAGATTATCTTCAGTTTTCACGCGGTATCTACATGTTGATACCTTATCTGAAATTATAAATAGTGCTGCCAGCCGTGGGTCTGTATTAATGGAGTGTGTTACCAGTGGGTCAGGACTGGAGTTACCTGGCAGCAGAGTTTCAGGTCCGTTACTATGAGAGTTTCATAAATTCAAATTTAGAAAGGACAGGAAAGCCTTGTTTTGGAGATGGTATACAGTACTAACAAATTGATAAGATTTCTCTCTTACTCATTAGGTAAGGACTGTGGGGACTGATCACCTCCAAACTGCTTCTTTCCCTTCTAAATAAAAAAAAAGGCACAATATCGTGACTGGAACGATACACATTATTATTATTATAATCAAGGGGGAAGCGCTAAACCCGGAGGATTATACAGCGCCTGGGGGGGGGGGGGATGTGGAAGGCATTCAGGCTTAATTCGGGGAACTGGAGCACAGATCCAATTCCCTAAATCAAGAGCCCCTCACCAACATCAAGGAACCTTCCTTGAGGGGGGAACGATACACAAATAACCCTTCTTTTGCTTGTTCAGCGTTACGATCACCTGTATTCGACTCGTGTCAGTTGTGTAAGCGAAAGTTTTGAAAATAAAGTTGCCAAACTGTTGTACACGGGTCTTACTCACGATACATCTTTGCAAACACAGGAAAGTTATGTATTACATTAATGGTAGCTGTAAAATACCGACAAGCTGATAAGACATGCATATACAACCCATGTTACATGTTATTTATCAAGCCTGACCCAGGGCCCGGCTACGGGAGTAGGAAAACTCGGAATCCGTCAGATATATCAAAGCTATATAGGTTCAGAGCTATCCTTCATAGGCTCATTTACAAAGCTCAACTCTAAGGTATACCACCACTTCTTAGGATGTCACCTACACTAGTCTACTGTCCCCTTAGTACCTACTTATTACTAGTTAAACAAGGGTAGCAGGTGTATAGAAACTGGCACGTCTCATCCAGCCCAAGAATCTAACCCGAATTCTTTTGGTTGTTTGTCGAAATGCTCTACCATTGAGCTGCAAGGCACCTTGATGAAGATGCTCATAGGATAATTGAAGCAAATACTTTGGTTAGAAGGATGAGTTGTATAAGTAACATGAGTTGGGAATGATTGGCTGCGACTATGACCTGTCTAGTATGATGCATAATAAAATTGGTACAGGTAAAATGGCACGAGTGTGAAATAGGATAAAATAATTATGATAACTGTTCTGCATGTGGTTATATACCACAATCAATAGATACTGGTTGGGTGCCATATTTTCCTTTGACTTGTGCCATTTTAATCTAAAATCTGCTATGGTCTGATAGGTATACAGATCAGTGGTTCTGGGGATAATCTTCCCTATAGCCTGGTCTCTGAGCAACTTCTTGGGTTGGAAAGGAAATACTACAGTATTAAAAACTATTAAGAAGCATATAAAGTGTAGATGTGAGTAAGTGTTCCTCTCTCTCTCCACAGCTGTTTCTGTGGACACCAAATATATCGATATTATTTCTGGTGGGGTAATAATAGTTCTTCATAAGAAAGCCTTAGCTTTATCGGGTAATAGGTACAGGCAGTGTGTTGTATGCTCGGCTTGACGAAAGTGAGAGAAGCAGACCATACCCCGGACGGGATTGAACCCGCGGTCGTAGTCTCAAAACTCCAGCCCGTCGCATTAGCCACTAGACCAGCTAGCCACAATAAGATTCGTCCAACTAGGTATATTTCTACACCATAGGAAGGTTAGCACGGGCACCACTGTGACCACAAATGCAAGTTTTTACAGACGAATCTCCAGCTAGTGTGGCCGTGACGAACTCTAGTTCAAGTCCCTTCACTGCCGTCAACATGACTCACGAAATCATAATGACACGATTGCAAACAAACTATACCCCGGCCGGGATTGAACCTGCGGTTTGCAATCGTGTCATTACGATTTCGTGAGTCATGTTGACGGCAGTGAAGGGACTTTAGTTCAAGTCCCTTCACTGCCGTCAACATGACTCACGAAATCGTAATGACACGATTGCAAACCGCAGGTTCAATCCCGGCCGGGGTATGGTTTGCTTGCAATCGTGTCATTATGATTTCGTGAGTCGTGAGAGAAGCAGGTCTTACTGCTGATAGGTATGGTACTATACTAAGTGGGAGGCAAGTCCACAATGGCTCGCCTCGGAGCAGGACCCCCAGCGAGAGCTATGGGAAACAGGCCTAAGCAGCATGAGAGTGAAATATAAAACTCGACAAAAGTTACATGTGTATATAAAAAAAAGGCACAATACCGTGACTGGAACAATACACAAATAACCCGCACATGGGAGAGGAGCTTACGATGACATTTCAGTCCGACTTGGACTATTTACGAAGTCATAAGCTCCTCTCTTCTATGTGCGGGTTATTTGTGTATTACATGTGTATGACTAAATGTACCGACTACTAATTTTTATATTTTCCCCTCCACTCACGGTGTGGTTCTTCGTTGCAGGGCCTGATGACAACGTTGATGATGCCGAGCGATTACGGAGTGGAGATGTTCCTCGGGTCGTCCCCTGTGCTTACCTCGGGTTACCTATCTACCCAGCCCTTTATCCATGACTTTCCCAGGCTGACTCCCCTCCAGGCAGCTCCCTTGCAGTCCACACCTGTCAGTCCAACCCATTTCAAGCCACGCCCTTGCATAACCTTTGGGGAAAACAACAGCCAGTCATGTGGCTCCACCCTCAATAATACTGGTTACATGAGTAATTTTGATAACGAGCTGTTCTCAACCACATACAGTAGCAGTAACAACACCACCAACAAGAATGGTTTCAAACGCTAGAAGCAGTTTTAGGTGAGTTACTCTAGTCGCTTTGCAAAAATGGAAAAAAAAAAATCTGCCAGGAAAGTTGTTGGCAAGTGAGCAGATACGACAAAAATGCAAAGTTTTCTAACGTTGCAGTTTTGTCTTGTTTATAAAAACTCTCCCTTTTCATTAAGCATAAAACAAATTAAATAACAAATGAAAAGTAATTAGGAATAATTAAATATAGGTTTTGGAGTTCTGTCTCTCCTAAATTATTAGCTCAACAAGGTAAAAGTTTAAATTTATCTAGACTAGAATACACTGAAAAAGTAGCGACACTGACCTTGAAGGTCTTATAGCTGATAAACCTCTAATGGTATTCTTGATGGCATCTTCATTGTCCTATTGAAATCTCCCAGCTTAGGCTTACAGATTTAAATACTATGAAACCTTTGCTGTTTTAAGGGAATATGATAAGGAAAAACTGCTGTCTCTGTTTTAAGGGAATATGATAAGGAAAAACTGCTGTCTCTGTCCCCACTACCTTTCATGTTTTACCTTTGAGTTTCAAGAATCTTCCTGCTCCAGGAGCCCAGCCTTGGTCTAGGCTCGAATGTAACTACATGTATCACATAAATTATGATAAAAGCACATTGCAGATGCATCCTGTTTTATTAAATAAAAGAAAAGCATAGCCAGTAACCTACAGAAGTGTGTTGTGTTATAGATCTAGTAGAGTGCAAATAGGATCTGCCTAACGTAGTCAATTAGCCTATTGCAGTTTGTTCTTTTTTTTCTTTAGGTCTAGTGAAAGACGGTCGCCCCCCCCAAAAAGGAAAACCAGTTTGCCTTTGCTGCTGCCAATTAAATCCTGTCTAGTGGCTCGCCAGGAGGAGGAACAAGAGGTAAATACAAACATGTTTTTGTTTATCAGTAATGTATTATTCATTAAACTCAAACTTTGTAAAACTCTTTATATCAAAGAACACGATAAAATTTTGTTCTTTCTTTTTAAAGGAGGGTGCTATCTCCCCAACGAGATTAAAGAAAAAGGTTGTGTTTGCCGACACTCAAGGTCATCCACTAGAAGATCCGCGTCCTCACTGAACGTCCAGACTGTCCACCAAAATGGTCAGCGGACTTCGTTGAGCAGTAAGACTGGGAGGAGTGCTTAATAATTTGGAAAATTAACATCATAATACAGGAGGGCCCCACTTATACAGTGGGTTAGGTTCCAGGCTACTGCTGTAAAGTGAAATATAGCTTATTTTCAATTTCAAATGCATATAAAACCCTGATAACATGTTTACACTATCATATATTAAGTGAGCAGTAGAGCTAGGCCTAAAAAATTACATGTATAGTACACACATTGTCTACCTTAAAATATTTTAATACATAACTTATAGTGAGTGGTGAATATATTTTATTGTAGGTAGTCTGAATAAATGAAGAATGGGTATAATTAACCACTGTATTAGTGAAATGCTGTAAGATAGTGCTGTAAAGTGAGGCCCAACTGTAGCAACACAGGATGCAGCAGTTTTTGGGCATCGCACTTGCATATTGATAAAACTGAATTCCCTTTAATTTAATTTTCCATGCTTTTGATCTGAGGTACCAGGATAATAAGCTATACATGTATTGCTAACTTTATATGCACTTAGTGCAAATACACTATCTTGAAAGTTAATTTCAATCTATTTTTGGAATTAAAGGATATATCGACAGTTTCTAATATGGGTCTTAGCACTTTCGTATGATTATTAATGCCTATCTAGTAGGTGATCTTGGTAAACAGTGTAGTGTTCTGCAGGTGACTGGAGGTGCCAAGGCCGAAGCTGTATGTGACCAGTGGGAGCTAGCGTTTGCTCAGCCAGCTTCAGACTATCTGGGAATGAAGGCACGATTAGAAAAAGACAATGTGACCTTGGAAAACGTCGTAATCAAGGAAATGGAAAACAGAGTACAAGGAACAGTGAAGGTAAGCTAATTATCATTTCATTGTAACACTGATGTTGCAATACTTGCTCAGTTGTATTTCATGACACAAAATATAAGTGCACTTCAGTGTGCACATACCTGGATATCGGTATCTCCAACTGTGCATTAAATGTAAATTTTAAGGTGAAAATAAAAACATATCTAGGCTTCACATCGAGACTTGCTAAACAGGTCTCGCCTCAGTGTTAGACCAAAATATTTGGTTTATGCCTGTTTTATTGTCTGTATGCAAGTTTGTGCCAGAGAATCTCAGGTTGATGTACTATTTATGGCTTGCCATTTTGTGTATTTCTAGTGCGAAACCTGTCCTTCCATAAGAGTGTCATTGTGAGATACACGATAAACAATTGGATTTCACATGATGAAATAGAAGCGAGTTTTGTGCCCTCGCTCTCAGCCACATGTTGCTTCTACAACCTCTACGATACCTTCACATTCAGCTTGCCCTTGCCTGGTTCTACTCAAGCAGACAAGGTAGAATTCTGCATCTGCTTCAAGAGTGAGCAAGGAGAGTTCTGGGACAACAACAATAGCAAGAACTATGTGATAGTATCGTTCAGACCCAAGACCACGCCACCGGAGTACAAACCCAAAGATATTTACGATGTGACATTAGATTCCTGGACTGAGTTTGCTTCTTGGAATCATCTAGACATCAATGATTCACCATATTGGTGAACCAGTAAATGAGGGTTCGAGATGAAACAATATTCGAACCCCCATACCTACGTTACCTAGATAACAGTGGTCTGGTGGTGCTACTTATGTTAATAATGTTTTGTCGATTTGTGCATAAGCAATGTTTCTTACGGTTCATTAAAGCAGTGATGTAGACCATCCGTGTTTATGCATTTATCGTTACACTACATGATGGGAGTGGCTCGGAATTAGCGGCTAGAAAGAATGAATGGACGTGAATTCGTAAATTAAATAGAATGGTAGAGCACTAAGTGAGTGGTATGGTGGTACCACTGTTCATAGTCATCACTGGAGCCACAGGGCTGGCCCACCACCCAGTGCAACATAGGGCCAGCTCACCACCCAGTGCCACATAGGGCAGACCCCCATCATCCAGATAGCTAGCAATCTTCTGGCGTGAAGAAAGAATGGGTGCTACTTTGGTGGTGACCAGGTTCACCCTCCCTCAAATCCACTTCATCAGCGCCATCCAGTCACAATTCCGCCCACTGGGAGCACCAGCATTGAAGTGGGCATGCATCATGGGTTACTGAGAGTTTCCTCGGACCCCCAGGGACAAACCATCAACAAACAAGACTGGGGAAGATCTTGTCATGCGGGACAGGAGTGATGTAGTAGGTGAGTGGAATTAGTCTTTAATAATATTTTGTAATTAAATTATTGTGTTCACCTGTTTATGGTTGCAGATGTAGTATTGTTGTGTGTGGGGGGGGAGGGGTTAAGAAGATGAATTTAAGCATGTGTGCAGACATTTGGTTTCAACCACATAAAACCCAAAGGCTCATTTTGTTTCATAGTTGTGTGGTGCTGAGCTCTTTCAGCCTAAGTACATCTTGTGTGCCACTGTAGTTGTTTGCTGGTGAATGCTGCAGGTGGAAAAAGAATGTCTTCAGAAATGTGGTTAACAGTTGTATTTTTAAAGCTCTGTCGACGTTGGCAAAGGATGATGCTTTTTGCGTGGCGCTTGCGTGTATATCTGCCCGTGACTCGCACTTTCTGGCCATACAGAGGCTTCTCTGACATACACCTGTGTTTGGTTGAATAGACTTATTCCTTGGGTGGTCTTGGTCTGTTTTTTATATATTGGCTTCACATAATCATAAGACTCTGTCCCCTGCTAGGCAGAAAAAGGGCACTTAATGGTTTAAAATACTGACAAGTATGAAATAACACAAGTGTCCTGTTAGCATATTTTATTTGTGAAAAAATTCACCACAAATGGCATTTTCATTCCTAAAGAAGACATTAAATAAACCATTCATGGTGAAACATAGGACACCTCAATCATTCCCATTCATGTACTCTTATAACCTATTTTTGTAAAAGTCAGAGGACTAAAGCTCAACTGTTCTCCTTACGGGTAAGCCAGTACCTCAAGACCTTGGCTTGAGGCACTAGCTTAACAAGTTAAGTACATGTTCATAACATACTTCTGGAGTCCTAGTTATTAGTCCAATTTCTCTCCTCCCATATCATTTATTTCATCATTTTCCCTAGCTTGTATGCCCTTACCTGGCTTTGATTTCTCTCTGTTTTTGACGAGGTTTAGCTGCCGAATTGGTGACGGAATCTCTGGTGGTGATTTGCGCTTGTTCATCTAATTAAAACTGCATGTTGTTTTCTAACAGCTTGTGTTCATTTCACTTACTGAAAACCCCATACCTGAAAAAACTATTTCTTAATGCTATTGCAGCACCACCTGGGCCAGCTGCCATCTGTTGGAGATATTCTCTACTAAGATTCTGTGGTGTTGGTGTGTCAGAGAAGAATCAATAGCTCAAAGGTATAATAGCAGAAAGTTGAAGACAGAGATGTGCAACACTTGGGATCTTTGTGAGAAATACTAGAACATTTTGTTGCAAAAGTTTTGGTCCTGGGACCTTGGTCCCTCGAAATATACAAACGATTAGGAAACTGCTCTTGTTGTGTTGCACACATACAGGAGGGCCCTGTTTGTATGGCTCTTAGGCTCCTGACCCCATGTGTTAAGCATGATATTGCCAGTGGGTGGAAAAGAGCATTTTTTATCATTGAATGCATCTAAAATGCCTGATAACATGTTTTTCATATATTAAGTGCTCAATTACAGCTAGACATAAAAAGTTGTGAAAAAAAATACATAGTACATACAATACTTGCCTTAAAATACGGTGCTGGGCATCCTTCCCTTGCACAATCCTTGTGCAAAGCAGTAAAAGCACTGATTATAATGAACAGTGGCTCAGTTGAAAGTCAACAAAAATATGGAACACGGAAAAGAGGGAGCTGAATATGAAGGGCCCTGTATTTGTTTATGCTAGTGAACAAACTTCTCCCAGTTTCTCCTATGTACTTTTTTGCACAGTGATCACATAGACCTTGACAGTGGAAACTTGTTGGTGAATTGTAGGCAGCTTATTAATTTCTTTATGAACGTAAAGTCGCGGTAACTGCCTGGATGTTGTTGCTTGCGTTTATTCCGAAACTTTGAGCCCAGCCTACATGTGAACGTGTCTTCAACTGCTGTATCTCATCCCCTTTTCTTTTCACTGGCTCTAATATGAAAGTCTCTTTCTTTACCCCTCTGTATTAGACTGATATTTCCTATATCATTTCTATATCTGAATGTATCCAACCTTAACGCATTGTTGCAAGTTCTTTTACTGGCAGATGTGCCGAGCATCATGTTTATGTTCTCTCTGCTTGATTCTCTCTCCACAGAATACTTCAATCATTTGATAGTCAATAAATGTAGTCAGGGTAACCATTCGGGGAGTAGTATCATTGTAATGCATAGAAAAAATAGCTTTACCCCCCTGTAACTGTTGGAAGAGGTGCTTCGGTTGTTGATGAAGGGTTTTTAAATCGAGGAATTGAACTCCCCCTCTAGGACCTGATCACCTCTCATTTCCAGGTGATGTATGGCCCACTGGGGGCTTTAATGCTTCACCATATAAATGTAAATAATATCGGAAGCTTAATAGATGGATAGCAGGAGCCTGACCCTGCCTAAGCCTAGGCCCAGGTGGCCTACTAACCGAGCTAAGCAGGATCTGGCTCTTTCCAATTCGTGTATGTCTGCCCTGTTTTTTTCAGAGTTAACCCCAAGTACAGTTTATCATGATGCCACCTGTGATGCACCTGTATGTATTTGTGGGTTTACCTCTCAGCATGTGGCACAAGTTTCTCCACCCACTATTTGCCAAAATCAGATTTGTCCCGTATACTTATAGCTCGAAATTAATTCCACATGCCAAACCACTTTGCAGTTCCGCTAGTAATAAATAACATCAGCTTTAATTGGTGAGTCTCTAATTTTTATCACTGTTGTCCATTGTACATTTCACCAGCAATGTTCCCCTCAAGGTTTATGAAACCTTTCTCAGCCTAAATTATAGAAAATAGCATTTGAAAATGTGCATGCAAGGGTTAGGGGATTTGACATTGGGGATTGTATGGGAGTTGTCAATTGATTTTTTTTTTTTTTTTTTTTTTTTTTTTTTGGGTCGAGTCAGAAAACAGTGTTTTATGCTCCATGAGAATTGAATCACCACAACTGTGTAAAGGTGTTAGTAAATATGAGATATTCCTGTATTATTTAGGAATGGGCACAATGCGAGTTTCTTGGCAAGTGAAAGGCTCAGGTTGGTGGTGGCCTAGTGACCTAGAATAACCTCTGTCCGACTGCCTACCTCCCTTCAAAGATGTGGGAGAAGGGGGATGGGGGGTTAGTGCCTTAATTCTGGTGAACGGGGCTCATGATCCAATAAATTGGAGATTCTCGAGGATGAGGCCTCCTCTTGCAATCAGACCTAGCACTGTACAAGCTTGCTTCCAGTGATATAATACAGCCTCTCCTTCACTTAACGACTGATTCCGTTCCTAAGAAACCACGTCCGTTAAACGAATTCGTCGCTAAATGAGAAGCATACCTATAATGGTAGTGAGTTTTGTCATCCATCTTTTGTATTTTTAAATGTCCACCTCTGCACCATTGATAACATTTCTGGTATATTTTTAAATGTTTAATACAGGTATGACTGTATATTGAAATGAACAAATAGAGGAAATCGGCTCTAATATGCATCTTTTAGGTTTGAATACCGGTCAGAGGAGCCTGCCGTAAGTCCGGTAAAAAACATGTGTATACGTTGCTAAGTGATGAGAGGCTGTATTCATAAGTAAGCATAAACAGTTGTAATGATGGTTACGGTTTATAATACAGTTTAGAAAGTAAAAAGATCTTGTACTATCCTTAGATCATTTTTTCCCACTGAAAATTGGTTAGATAAGATTAATACTGTAAATGTATTTTGTAGATTTTAATGAATGTCACGTTTAACTTGGAATGGTATTTGAAAATGTGCTCAGCATTAAGCGTGCAATCTAAAACCCATGTACCTACTTAAGTGCTAGGTGAACAGAACAGCAAGGTTTGAAGTTGCCCTGCGTTTCTGTTGGCGCCAAAAACTCGACCAGCCATTTTGACAATCTTAGAATTGTGAATTTATTTGCCAAGTTAGGTTGTATATGTTTGATTTGTGGATGTTTAAATTGGGTGTTCGCCGTGTGGGTTTATGTACTTTTTATAATTGGTCACATGAGTGATCTCTCTAAAAGTGCTGTTCAGATTTCGTGCTGTATTCAGTTCTCGCTAGCATATTGTCTCGGTGTAGTACACTTGCACGACTTCTTTGCTGATATGGGAACGTTGCGCCATGTCAGTTTTTAATAATACAAATATATCTGGATTTGATAGCGTTTTGGGCCTTGGAGGAGCCGAGCGAGTTAGAGTAAATGAATGATAACTGGTATGAAACAGATGGGGTTCCATTGCTATGTGTTGCCTACCTGGGCTTCCATGACATGGTGGTCTTTGTGAAGGCTGTACTGGCCACACAAATGTTGTGGTGTAAAGCTTAACCAACCTCTCTCAGTTGGTGTCGAAAGTTATACCACCACAAACCAGTGTAGCGATGTGGTTTGTACCCACCACCACACCAGTGTAGTGATGTGGTTGAACCCACCCACCACACCAGTGTACGATGTGGTTGTAAACCCACCACCACACCAGAGTAGCGATGTGGTTTGTACCCACCACCACATCCAGTTGTTAAACGATGTGGTTTGAACCCTCCACCAACAACCATTGTAGCGATGTGGTCTGTACCCCACCACACACCAGTGTAGCGATGTGGTTGTACCCACCACCACAGCAGACAGTGTAGCGATTTGTGGTTGTACCATCGCCCCACCACCACACCCACACCACACCAGTGTAGCGATGGTGGTTGTACCACCACCACACCAGTGGGTAAGCTATGTGGTTAGTACCCACCACTGGCACGACCAGAGTAGCGCTGGTGGATGTGGTACGCCACCACTACACCAGTGTACGATGTGGGTTGTACCCACACCACACCAGTGTATCCTATGTGGTTGTACCCAACCACCACACCAGTGTAAGCGATGTGTTGTACCCACCAGCACACACATGTAGCGATGTGGTTGTACCCACCACCACACCATGTAGGCGATGTGGTTGTACCCACCACACCATGTAGCGATGTGGTTGTACCCACCACCACACATGTAGCGAGTGGTTGTACCCACCACCACACCATGAATGCGATG